GAAGGTTCACCTGGGACTGTAGGCTCCACTTCCAAGATGGCCGTTGGCAGGATCTTCTCCCAGACAGTGATTCAAGAAAGTGAACAAGGAAGAAGATGCAGTGCCTTTTGTGATCTAGTGTCCGAAGCCACAGACCGTCACTTCTGTTTTAGTCAACTCATTAGCAGCAGTCACTAACTCCAGCCCACCTTCAAGGAAAGAAGGGTCAATCTTCACCTCTTTTTTAAAAAAAATTTTTTTTTCAACCTTTATTTATTTTGGGGACAGAGAGAGACAGAGCATGAACGGGGGAGGGGCAGAGAGAGAGGGAGACACAGAATCGGAAACAGGCTCCAGGCTCTGAGCCATCAGCCCAGAGCCTGACGCGGGGCTCGAACTCACGGACCGCGAGATCGTGACCTGGCTGAAGTCGGACGCTTAACCGACTGCGCCACCCAGGCGCCCCAATCTTCACCTCTTGAGTGGGGGGTGGACCTAGTTTTAGACGGCCAAGAATTGGTGAACCTATTTTTAAGCCACCACTAACCTCTTACTTAAAAATGCTGAGGCGGCAGTAGCTTGAGGTAAATGGATTCTCTGTGGGCTGTATCCAGTTGGGTCATCCACCTCATGTGAACCGAACCATCTGTGAGTAAACATGGCTTAAACATGATCGCCAACATGCTACCTACAGAATTTCCCTTCTAGAAACTATGCATCTCACTGACTCTAAGATATTAGAAACAGAGAAGGAATACGTTAGGATTTAATGAATATTTGTCTGATTAAAAGGAATATAATAAATCCCAACCTAGGCAAAGGCAGGCAAGATCTGCCTTTGCTCTTTCACAACACCTTTGCTAGAGAGAAGGAATGAAGATATATTCACACACACAGGATAAAAAAGAGAAACCAATTCGAGGCAGGGAAAGTGGACTTTGCTTGGCAGATATCAGAATTACACACAGCCCTTGCTCCCTACTAGCAAAAACAAAAACAAAAACAAAAACAAAAAACCAAAACACCTAAAGTGGTGTTCTCAGGAGAGAGAATTTAAATCTTTATTTCAGGTAATTCATGAACATCAATGAAGCCAAATGCTGGCCTGGCCAGCCTTAATGGCAATTTCCAGAAGGTCTGAGCTCATCACAGATGAGGTGTCTAGATCTTTCACATGATTTCAGCCCCAAAGCATAAAAGGATCCATGTAACATGACCTTGTCTATTCCATGGCAGTTTAGAGCCATGTCCAGGGCATCCACTCAGTGAACATTTCACAGGGACAAAGCTGATCTCAGGCAAAACAGTACTTTAGGTATGGTTTGGATTTGACAAACCCATTTTCCCCTTCCCACTTCCACGTCACTCAGGACCATGCCAGGCTGGCAAGTGGAGGGGGATAGGATATGGAAAAGGAGAGGGAAGCATCTCTGTAGGAAGGCCCCGTGACACCACTTCCCAGTGTTGTGACGTGGGACAAGTTTCTTACCTTGTCTAAGACCTGGTTTCCATTTTGGTTAAGTTAGAATTTACACATCTGGAGATAAAGATCATTTTCCAATATTATCGGTTGTTTCCAATTTATAGAGTTGTACAGTAGCTTCCACAGAGTAAGGATCGGGTAACCAAAAGGATGAGCTGTAGACCATGCGTAGTTTTGCATCAGCACATGTCAAGGTTTTTCCAAGTTCTTAGCAAGGGACATAGGTAGGTTAATACCCATTTCACCAAAGAACAGTGGTGTTGAGTGGGGCTGAAATTCTTTGTTCTTTTCTAGGACATGGCAGTACCACCATGTTTCCATCCTGTGTTCGTCTGTCTTGGATCTGGGACTTGTGGGAAGGATTCACATTTTTTTTCATTCAACCCGAGAAACTCAAGGTTGTAGAAGATAGGCCATTTCCAGGGAATTTTAACTACCTTCCTTTGAAGGCAAACGACAGCCAAAAATGTTCCTCTGCAGCAGGGACTCAAACCAAATGAAACATTGGCTCAGTTCGGGTTCAGTTAAAGGAATGTTTTGATGTTCTAGTTCATTAGAAAATATATAGGTTTGATTCTGGTTTGAACATGTTTGCTAGATTTTCAAATACTTTTTTAAGAAGAACAGAGCAATGGAGTTGGGAGAAAGCAAATATTTATTTAAAGTTATAAAATAAAACAAATCTTTCAGAGGAGGGTAATAGCGAAAGAATAAAAGAAATAAGTCAAATAGACATTCATATATATACTATATATATATGTAGTATATATATACTATATATAATAGTATAGTATATAGTATATTAGTATATATAGTATATATACTAATATACTATCATAGTATATTAGTACATAATATATATACTAATATACTATCTATAGTAGTATAGTGTATATATATATATATATATGGACATCTATTTGACCTATTTCTCTTATTCTTTCACATATATAGAATATATGTATATATATGTATAATATATACATATATGCATAATATATATTACATATGCAATACACATGTAATATACATATTATACACATACATATAATACATATGCATATACATATTATATGTAATTGCATATGTAACATATATTAC